ATATGGGTTAAGTGTGTGTTCTTTTAAAGGACACAAATTATATCCTTTTAGTTTTTTATACTATGTACTATGGGTAGTACATAGTTATAATATAAAAAGTTACATTTTTTTTTCTTTCTTTACGTCAACTAAAGTGACTGAGGAAGGAGAAAAAAGAAAAAGTAACTTTTTATATTATAGAGTAAATACTATTTTTGGTCCCTAACAAAAAATACGGTCCCCACTTTAGTCCCTTACAAAAATAAATTAGTCAGTTAGTTCCTAACAAATTCAAAGTGGACCCATTTAGTTGAAATCGTGGTTCCTCACAAATTCAAAAAGACCAATATTAGTCCCTCAAAAGGACTAAAATAGGTCCACTTTGAATTTGTTAGGACTAACTGACTAATTTATTTTTGTAAGGAACTAAAGTGAAGACCGTATTTTTTGTTAGGGACCAAAATAGATGTTTACTCTATATTATAACTATTTACTTAAAAGGACATAACTTATGTCCTTTAAAAAACAAACATTTTTCTCATAATATATAACTAAAAATCTGTCTAAGAAAAGAAAGCGACACAACCAAATTCTATGAATGGCAGGACTATTTTTTTTTGAGAAGTGGAGTAAAGTGTGATTCTTTTCAGTGACACTACAGTCGGGAGGAGGCAGATGGAACAAGATATGCACTTCTTAAATTTGATTTGGTAATCTTTTAATTTGAGATTTGAATATGATATAATCTTTGTTTTGTTCCTGATTATTATAAGGAATTAAATTCCGGTCGAGAATTCAAACATTAAGGGTAAAGTCCTATATTTATTAGAAATGAATTAAGCGATATCTTAAAATTAGGGATTAAGATGTGATGTAAAAAGCCCATTTATTTTAATGGATTATCACTTGTCCCGCCATGGGGTCTCACACTTGAATGGTAGTCTCTAAAGACCTCAAATGATTAAATACTATGTTTTGATACTATCAAAAAATTGAAGAGCATATATCAAATTGAAGATTAAAGGCTCGGAATCATAGTATTATAAAGGTTGCAAATTTATCCTGTAACAATCTTTATAATGTCACTATTGTTGAGACTATTTGCTACACTTGCATTAGACAATTACATGCTTAAATAAATAAAATCATAGTGTGAAAATATTTTTTTCAAGGGGCATTTCTATAAAATCAAGTACAGACGGGCGTGTCAACTTAAATCCAAGAACACCTATTTACTGGAAAAATTTAATACGCTCCAGGCCCACTACTTATTCAGTGGTCCCTTTTTCATAAATGGAAAATTTTCATCTATTTCTATCCTTCTCTTTTTGATTTTTCCCCCTTCGTCCCTCTTTTTTTCTATTTTGGGAAAGGATCACCATAGTCCAGGCCCACTAAATACCTTCTCCTATTTACTAATGAAAAAGGTCGTTCCCTTCACCAAAATTATCAAATGATAGATTGATAGATGGGCCTCATGACTTATCAGGGGCATCCACCTGTCTTTAGTCTAAGTTGACTCGTTTTAAAAAATATATAAATTTAAACTCATTAAAAACCTCTTTAAAAATTAGGCCACAACAAACAAAGGTGGCACAGTTGGTTAAAGATTTGGTCCATACTTCTAAAAGACGTGGGTTCAAACTTCGCTGGTCGATGTGAGGACTTTGTTGGTGAGTGATATGTAATCCCTCCCAAAAATCTTCAAAGAGGTTGGAGGATACCGGTATCTAACTCCTCTTAAACTTTCTGGTATAAAAAAAAATAAAAAAAAATTAGGCCACAAATTTATTTTAAAATGTTTGACCTCCGAGCCTCTACATATAACCTTATTTTTTAATAAAAAATCATTTTTATTATATTTTGTCTTTTCTAACTGTCTTTCTATGAATTTGGTTTCAAGGGAATGAGACATTGTTATATTAGTGGCCGTTGAGTAGGGATGTAAATGGGTTAGGTCGGCCTACAAGGGCCTACGGCCTAACCTATAATAGGCCAGACTTAACCTATTATAAATAGTAAAATAGAACATGTTTAGGCTTTTAAGAAAACCTATTTAGAAAACATGTCATAGGCTTTTTTGTACATGTCTGTCCTATAAGCCTACAGGCCAACCTATATCATATTATTTATTTAAAATATAATAAATAAAATTATTATTTTAATAATTTTAAATAATAAAATATATTATTTTAGTTATTCTTTTAATTGTTAAATATTTAATAAGCTTAAACAGGACTACAGCCAAAACTTTTATTTTTTAAATATAGATCAAGGCAGACTTGTAATATGAGGCCTACAGAGGCTAATAGGCCAGGCCATACCCAATGTTTTTACACAGATCTGACCTATTTAAGCCAAAGCCTAGTTTAGTCTAGCCTATTTACACCCCTACCGCTGAGCACATTAAATTTCTGTCTTTTTTATTTTCTAATATTTTATTTATGTGGCTATATATATAAATTATGTGGCTATAATATTTTTTCTTTTTGTTTACTGAGATTATTAAATATATGAGTGAGTGAATATGGGTGTGTTTGAAAGTGTTTTAGTTTTTTTTTTTCAAAAACTGTTTTAAATATGAATTTTAAAAACTGATTTTGAGAGTAAAAAAACAAAAAAACTTGTTTGAGTGTAGTTAAATTAAAGTTATAAAGTTGTAATTATTTAAAAAAAAAACCTTTAATGAAGTTTTAGAATTACAAAAATGCCACCATAAAGTAATTGTTTTGAATCCTAATATTTACGAAAGTGCCGTTAATGAATCCTGTTATTTACGATTTTGCCATCGCCTAAATAAAAAAACAAAAACAAAAACAGCACTAGAGAACATCATCAGGTTGTTTTGGTTTTCTGATTTTTAAAACTGAAAAAGAGTCATTGTTTTGAGAAGCATTTTGTAAAACAATCATTTCCAAACTGATTTTTTTACTTTTTTGTTTTAAAAACTTAAAAACTGTTTTTGAGAATAAGAATCAAACAGACCCTATGTTTCTTTGTTTTGAAATTTAATTAAGCTTTTTGAGCCATTATTTTTTTTATTTCCAACAATGTAACTAAATTGTCAATATTTTATGTTGTGACTCTATCAAGCATATAAAAGAAGCAAAATATTCATAACTTTATAATTTATATAATGCAATATGCCATTTTTAATGATTTGAAAGGTTTAATATATCAAGCAAGCCTTATATTTTTTAGAAACAAATCAAATCAAACTTATAATTTAACTTATATAATTATATCAAACTATTAAATCAAGCCAAGTTTAAAATATTTTACATAAATCTAATTTATTTAATCTAAAACTTGATTTGACTTGACTCACTCATGATAATTCTTTTCCAAACCAATTCAATTCTATTCCTATTGCTTTAAATAATCATTACATCTACCAAAAGTGTCATTATATTTTTTGGAGTTTGAAATTGTTGAAACTTGAAACCAATGGGAATGAAAGATATCTCAAAATTCTAAAGTGATGCCAATATTTTCTTTAATTTTCCTTGAAAGATTTTAACAAGAAACTATACACCTCCTTATATTGGATTTTTATTGCACAGATGAACTCAGCCTGATTTTTTAGTGTCTTTCTTATTTTATTTTTCCTCTGTTTCTTTTTGTAGTTCCCAAATTCAAAAGATTCCGAAAGTCTATTAGACTACACGAACATCAAAGAAAAAGTCACAGGTATTCATGATGGCTCTTTCAAACTCAAATTTCTTCTACTGGCCTCCTCTAGCTTTTTTTTTTTTTTTTTTTTTTAAATACAAAAAAAAAAAAAAATTTGAATCTTCTTTTCTAGTAGCCGCCTCTAGCTTTTCAATCTTCCTTATTCTCCTTTTCTTCATTCCAAATCCAAGCCGGAAATTTAACCATTAAACCGGATATGAATCGGGTTTGACTAATTGTGAATCAGATAGTCTATACTCTATACACACCTCCTTTACTGTTGCACCAACATGAGCTTCTTATTATATTGTTGATATTATAATATTTATTATGTATTATTATATGAATTAATTCAAATAATTTATCAATGTGATTAAAGATATATAATATAAAAATCATTAAAGGTCTATTACTTAACAGTTTAAGTTATTGTGTTGAATTAATTATTTTGTATCTTATTAAAGCCTACGTGATCATGGGTCACGAATTCAAATCTAATCGTCCTTCATTTTCTGATAGAATTATATGTAAAACCATATAAATAAGTTTATGTAATATTTATATTTAAGTTCAAAGTTCTCTGGCATAAGAGGACGCCTTAAAACTATCGAAGACTTATCAATCAAAGGACTTTTACAGTAGAGAATATATTTGAATGGTTTAATATAAAAATTATTAAAGTTTCATTATTTAACAGTTTGAACTATTGAGTTGAAATTGTTGTTTGAAAGGGTAAAGTTAACCACTAATTTATTTTATCAATACACAACCGAGTCAATAGTCGATTTTTTAATAACATGGGTTGTAATAGTGGCACCTATACACTACCAGACATAATAATAATTCATACAAAACAAAAAAGAATGGATGGTATGCTTCTGGGAATTCATGGCCCAACAAAAAAAAAAATTAAAAAGAGAGAATCGTCTCTATCTTAATTTAAATTCTCATCATACGGTGACAATAAAGTCACGGTTATACACAAAAGAAACCTTACCTATAACCGAAAAACAGAGTCTATTCAACAACAGAAAACAGAACCAAATACGAATCAAACAAATATTGGAAAGAAAGAAAACTAAAGAACAAGAAGAAAAGATCATGATCATGGTTACGAGAGATAAATCTTTTTCTTTTATTTCTCTTTTCATGAGAAAATAAAACAGAAGAAAGCGCTCACTGCTCATTTCCAACTTCGATAAAATATATATAAAAAAAAAAAAAAAGCCATATACCTCATGTATCATACACAGCTACCCGGGTATACAATATACACAGTGGAAAACAAAAGAAAAACGAGAAAAAAAAAAAGGTATAAAAAACATGTGAAAATAACTTTACTATAAGCTCTACCTCCTCAAAAATTTCATAGTATTGGTGTAAACGGGGGTGATTTTGATGACAAGGCCAGGGAAAACATCATCAGGGTCATGAATATGAGGGTTGTTTTCAACGATGTAGGGGTCACCACACTTGTCACTTATGGTGTGGAGGGTCTCCCCTTCTCCGACGACGTATATCTCGTCACACGGCCGTTCAACGAGGTGGCTCCTCCCTCTCACGGCGGTTGTGTCATCGTTAGCCATATAGCTCTCCCTTACGGACCCCAATAATATTAGAGACAATAACACTATGGCACAATACCATGATGCTGAATCTGCTATGGTTTTTGTTGAGGCTGATGATGAACCCATTATGTATTGCTATTTTGTGAGAATTGAGAAAAGAAAAGTAATCAAATATATGGGATTGGAAGAAACAAAGTGGAACTATATATAGAATAAAGCTAAGGTATATGAAATTTTATTTAACTATATGGTGTATTTATTATGTGGGACAGAGGATTGAGAAAGAGTGGTTTAAGCAATGTTTGGTACTTTGGTTGGTGAGACTTTTGGTTCAACTACATGGAGATAGAAAGAATGCGGTAACTAACATAAGTACTTTAAGACAAGGGGTAAGATCGTTTTTTATTTTTATTTTAATTTTGATGTAATGCATATATCATATTTATTTAATTTTACTATATTGACACTTTATTTAATAAATTTAAATATTAAATTTATCAAATGATGTGATAGTATAATATTAAATATAAATGTAAAAATATATATATCCTCAGAATGCAACATAATTAAATTGTTTGACTTTTTGTGCATGCATGATTCTTACACTTACGAAGGAATTGGCTCAGTTTCTATTAGAATATCAAAACATATCAAATTTACCAAAAACATTTATACGAATATCAAGCCTAATCCTTGGATTCAAATTCGAAAGGAGGCTCTGAAAAATATTTTTTGTTTTATAAAAGTTTGCTTAAAACATCTGGGGAAGGCAATTATTGAGCGCAAAAACTCCGTGGTAGGTCATGCTGATCGTGATTGAATATACATTCAATATAAAATTAATTTTTATGATGATGATTCAATTGAGAATTTTTTTCAATTTAATTCCTGCTAAATTTTTATCAGAAGGCCCATCATACATATCCTTAAGGACGCTTATGATGATTTGAATAAAAGATTTGTGCGCGAATTAATACACATGAAGTTAAGGAGACTTTAAAGAGGATGGAGACTAATAAAGTTTTGGGACCAATGTTGTAAAACCCGGCCCGGTAATTGACTCGGTCGGGGTGATGAGTCACTGGATTACTGGTTCAACTAGTGGTTCACTGGTTCAACCGCTTAAATCAAATAAATAAATATAAATTTATATTTTATATTTTAAATTTTAAAAAATCATAATACAACTTAACATAATGATAATATATTATTATATGCAGCATAAAAAAATTTCATGGTTATAATTTAATAACTCTGTATGTCATAATTATGATCATATATTTATATCTCATTCTAAAATTAAACAAGTATTAATAATAAGTCTGTTATAACTCTATGTGAAAAAATAAGCTCTATTATCATTATGATATATCTTTACGATGGTGGATGATAAAAAAAGAGTTTTTCTTATATCATAAAAGAGTTTTTCCTATTTTTTATCCATTCTCGTCGATAAAAAATACTATGAGCTCGTTTGGATAGGCTTTTTTTCTTCAAAGCTGCTTTTTTTAAGAAAAAAAAGTCTGTTTGGATGCCTGCTTTTAAAAAAGCAGAAATCATAAAAAAAAGTCAAAAACATACTTTTTTTTCGGAAGCTAAAAATTTTAACTTTTAAAAAAAGCAGAAGTCAAAATCCAAATATTTTTTTCAAAAATCAAATATTTTTTTAAAAATCAAAATAGCTGTAATTTTTATAGAAAGTACTTTTAAAATAAAAAAGTGATAAAAAAGACTTTCTTAAAAAGCCAATACAAACGAGCTCTACCTAGAAGTGGATAATAAAAAAAAAAGTAATGCTTCTTAAATTACAAATGTAGAAAAGTAAACTTTGAGCAGCAAAGCTAAAAGGCCTTGTTTGAGTCAGTAGTGTTGTAGAAGATGGAGACTTTGAAAGCTGCGATTCCAGAAGCCCTGAAGCGATTGATCGCAGAGAGCACTATCGATGATCTTCGTAGCACATGTTCTTCTCTTCACCGCTTTTTGGTTCATTTCGAGCCATTTCAACATGTAAAAGCTTCTCCCATTCCACTTGTTCTGAACAATCCCTAATTTCTTGTTCTGACTCTTTGGTGGTTCTTAGATGGTGGCTGAATTGGAAGACCCTAAGTATGTTCTTTGCGGTAAGAGTAAGGACGTTGTTTATCCTGTGGTTCAGATTGATAAGCGTGTGTTTTCATGTTCCACATCGACCAAATCAACAAAAAAATATAGTCTTGGAAGACCCGGTGAAGCATTGAACTACTTCGCTAGGTTTTTAAGGACTCGACCGAGTTAGTCCGATTGATACCGGTTCGTCACGAATTACATGCACATCCGATCGAATAAAGCACTCGGACCGGCCACATGACCGGTTCACCGGTTTCCGAGTCAAACCGGCTGGTTCGAGCCGGTTCTTTTAACACTGCTTGGGACCTGATGGTGTCCCTATTGAAGTGTGGAGAGGCCTGGGGGATGTGGCAATAAAATGGTTGACCAATCTTTTCAATAAGATTCTTCAGACAAATAAGATACCAATCTTTTCAATAAGATTCTTCAGACAAATAAGATGCCTGATGCATGGAGAAAAAGGGAGATATAGAATTGTTCTAAGTATAGAGGCATTAAGCTAATGAGCCATACTATGAAATTGTGAGAGAGGGTTATTGTAAATCAATTTGGATTTATGCCAAGAAGATGTACCATGGAAACCATTTTCTTGATGCGGCAATTAATGGAAAGATATCGAGAAAAGAAGAAGGACTTACAAGGAAAGTTTTATGGTGGGTTCTGGAGAAGAAAAAGGTATCATCAAAGTATGTAAAGGCAATCAAGGATATGTATGATGGGGCTACTGCATGTGTGAAAACTTGTAACGGAACATCAAGTTGTTTCCCTATCACGGTAGGTGTACACCAAGGTTCGGCTCTAAGTCCTTATCTCTTTGCCTTAATTATGGATGAACTAACAAAAGATATTCAAGAGGAAGTGCCATGGTGTATGCTTTTTGCAGACGATATTGTGCTTATCGGTGAGGTTAATAGAAAACTTGAATTGTGGAGAAGCACGTTGGAATCTAAAGGATTCACATTAAGTCGGAGCAAGACTGAGTATCTGAAGTGTGAGTTTTCTCTGGTAAGAGATGTAAACCAAGATCCTGTGCATCTAAGTGGTCAAGAGGTACCCAAGAAAGATGCTTTTAAATACCTGGGCTCCATTTTGCAAAAAGGTGGAGAGATTGATGAGGATGTAAATCAGAGAATCAGAGCAGGTGGATAAAATGGCGTAGTGCATCTGGGTTTTTGTGTGACCGCAAAATTCCCCTTAAGTTAAAAGGAAAATTCTGTAAAACAACAGTAAGACCTGCAATGCTATATGGAGCTGAATGTTGGCCAGCACATAGGCAACTTGAGCATAAAATGGGAGTAGCAAAGATGAGGATGTTAAGGTGGATGTGTGGTTATATGAGGATGGATAAGATAAGAAATGAAGATATTCGACGAAAGGTAAGAGTACTACCGGTGGCTGAGAAGATGAGAGAACATAGATTGAGGTGGTTTGGGCACGTAATGAGAAGGCCCTTGGATGCTCCCGTAAGAACAGAAGTTTGTTACCAAGAGCTCAACACAAAAAAAGGTAGAGGTAGACCGAAACTTACTTAGGGGAATGTAGTAAAACAAAATTTAATGGAGTGTGATATAGATTGACGGACGGTATGCCTTAGAACGGAATAGAAAAAAGCTATAAGCATGGTGGAGGGTTAGACCCGTTATTATTTCTATGTTCCAGATGGTCTCTTTTTAGTCCTTTTCCCTTTCATTTCCCCTTCTTCTTCTTTTCCCTTTCTTTTTTACTTTTATATATATATATATATATATATATATATATACTATTCTATTTATTTATTTTTACTTTTCTTTTTCTTTTTTCAACCTTTTGTATCTTTTATTTGGGTTCATCTACCACCGACCTCAATTAATTTGAGATAAAAATGTTGTTGATTGTTGATGTTGATGTTGATGTAATTCCTGCTAAAGACTTCTCTAAAGCATGCTTGTTATATATTTTTTTCAATTTTATTTAGATAAATACTCCTATAATGGTTAGATGTGTTCCTCTTCTAAAATTTTATATGAATAATCCATCAACTTAAAAGTGTGCCATTTTTACGTGGGTTCACATTATATGACACACACAAAAGGATATAAATAATTCGTCAACCTTAAGGTGTCCCAGTTATTATATATAATATGACACAAATAACCTATGTATTGAACGTTATTTTTACAGATGTCGTGTTAGCCTAACATAACACAAATAACTTAAAAAAAAAATCAACACATGTTAGTTTAATATTTGCAGATAATTAACACATGGTACGATATAAATTTTTTCATGTCAAGTTTTATTAACATAAAATACAACATAAATTTGAAAATGAGTTAACCCGAATACGAATTTCTCGTGTCGCATTTGTGTCGTGTCAGCATGCCATGTTAAAAATGTTATTTTAACTGCAATTAAAAAAATAGTTCTGCCATGCTTGAAATAGTATCACTTTGACAAAAAAAAAATGGCATAATTTATATATATTGTTTCAATCGTTATTTAAGGGATGCTTTATATTATTACGCAAATATATTTGTAGATTTTGCTATAATCAAAAGTATGAGTTTTATTAATTTCATGTTAAAGGAGGTAAGTTATCTCATGTCAAGGAGATAAACTTGTGGGTTCCATCACCTGAAAAAAAAAAAAAAAGGTGGCACAATTATAAAAGGGTGTGTAGGAGGGAAAACTTATTTCATGTAGCATGAGAATAGTTTTTCCCGTAAAATATAGGAATTGTTTTCTTATGCTATAGGAGAAAGCACTCTCCTATTTTTCTCACATAGAAAAATGAGTCTTTTTTAAAAAAAAAATTGGTGAATCCCATTTTATTTGTGTCAGCATAAAAGAGAATTTATCTCCTACTATATAAGAGAAGTAAAGCCCATAAAATATAATGTAGCAAAAAATAATATAATACATTTTCACGCATAAATAATGAGAAATGTTTTTTTATCTTACATGATAAATCTTTTGTTACGTGACACACACATGGAAATTTGAGCCATCATTTTTTTTAATTATGGGATGCACCTAATTAT